TCGTGCTTAACACACCTCTTTTTATCCCCACCAAAGAGAGAATATTCATCATTTAACGTTATCTTTCCAACGCTGAGCAGATTAACTTCATACTTGTACTACAGCCGTATTTCCCCCACTCCAAGGCGCTGTTGCGGCCTACGTATCTATTAACACTGTGCTCACTGAGTCCAAGTGGCCAACCGACGGAAGGGCGGCACGGCGACCAATGCAGGAGGAATCAGCAGAGGTGCAAGTCAGCCGGACCGGAGGCCAGAGGGGAGGAGGAGGAGAGCAGGGAGGAGGGATGGGGGAGGAAGAGGAGGAGGAGGAGGAGGAGGAGGGTCCGATTAGTGGGGCCGGACTCGAGTATTCAGTCGGCGGTCCGCCGGTGGAACAGAAGCCACTTTACTTTCTGCCATGAAACAAAGTGCCTTCCGAGTACAAACCGCGCGGGGAGCCCGGGTGTTACTCAACATCGACAACACGTCTCCGCTCACGTTTCCTCCGATGGGCTATTTTCTACATGTTCATTTCGCCCCACGAGTGCTGAGGGGAGGGCATGTGCGTGCAGATGGAGCGCGTAGGTGGGGGGGTGGGGGGGCTTTGTGCTCCACCCAGATTTAACTCCTGATTGGACGGTCGCCTGTGTGTGTGTGTGTGTGTGTGTGTGAAGCCTTGGCCTGTGGTCGGCGTGAGGGCAGCTGACCGGGCCGCGCTGGCAGATCGGGTTTGGGGACAATTTGGCGACAGCGAGGCTGTGGATCTTTTTCTTTTATCTTTTTTTTTTTTTTTTTTTTTTGTGCAGAACGAGGAGCTCGTGCAGCAGGATGCAGACGCTTGATTGAATGAATACTCCGCTCCGCTCCGTTCCCATAATTCTCCTCTGCCCCGCGGGCGAGCATTTTTTAAACAAAAGAACAACTGCTGAATAAAACATGGCGTTGTACAGGGAGGAGAGCAGGAACTTTGGGACTGCAGGCTCTTCATTAGGGCGATGTGCATCGCCCCTGTCCTCCACCATTTATATGGAACAATATGAGAATAAAAGATAATAATGACCATAATAGTAGTCATGATATTTTATTACTCTAGCGGGAATGTTTCTCTGCTTTTACACAAACTGTGAAGATTGACTGTGGAAGATCTACCTGAGACCATAACCTTAACCAGCGGGGTTTTTAAAAAATGTATTGTAAAAAAGAGAAAATAAGAAAATGAAAAATTCCGTCCATTGTTGGTTATGACAAATGTTTTGAGGACTTGTGTCTTGTTTCTTATTTTTTCCGTTGAAGATGACTTTACTTCCTTTTCTCTTCTTGTTGTCTCCCTTTGCATCGCTTACGTATCAAAGCTGATGGAAGCATAAGAAGCAAAACCAATTTGGGAATTGTATAACTTGTAAATGTTAAAGAAGCTCTATTCAAAGGTTTATGATAAATGTTTTATGTTGGAGTACAGGAAGCACAACATACAGTTCAAGGTCTCGACATGTAAAACGCATTTTATATTTCTTTGCACATGCGTGACCCAAACCAAGTAAACGCATCATTTATATTCAAACGTATCATGAAACCAGGTGGCCCGGGTTCAGCTTCCTCCTGGTGTTGTGGTAGCTCAGCATATGTAGCCTGGTCTGGGGGGGGGGGGGTCACGTCCGTGTGCAACAGAGAACCGACGCATGTAAAGAAGAACCGAGCAGAACGACGGGCATGTCAGGGCATCCTTATGACATCAGTACAGAGACACTATCACAGCTGTTTCCTGCTTTTATTCATGTTATTTTATTTCTTCCCATGAGGCCCAGATCATAATGAATGTAAATGGAGTTCTGGAGGGGGGGGGGGTATTTTCTAACAGTCTAACTAGATGTAATCTTTTACTAAAACATGCTTTCGTGTGCTTTTGATGATGAGAACTTCCAGACTTTCATAGGTTGTTTTGGACACATCAAGAACAAGAGATTTGTGTGACTTTGACACATCCCCCCCCAACCCCCCCACCAAAAAAAAATACCAGCTCAGATATTAAATCCATTAGCTATTTGCTATTTCCTCCTGTGAAATAGCAAGTAATGAAAAGTGCCAAAGTGCCGTTAGCAGTCGTCGCTGTTGCTAAGTATGGATACGAGTTCCTTTAGAGATGTTGGCAGCTGTTCCTTTTACCCCCCCCCCCGCGCCCCAAACAGCCTCCCAACGAAGACCTGGTGGCCGTCTCCCTCTTGGGGGAACAGTTTCCCCGTGACTAGCCGGGGTCAAAGTCCCGTGAAGTAGCTCAACTTAACACAAAGAATGGGAACACGTGGGAAAGACTATCGAGAAACTTATCCAAAACTTCTTCCTTCTTCTTCAACTGTTTTTCGCGGTAGTGGGGGTTTATACGGATGAACCTTTTCAAAACACAACCTGAATCGAAAGAAAAAATCCTGCTTTTGTGGTGTGTATTATTAAATTCTGGGTACTTTCATCAACTAAACTTCCATCTGTGTGAACGAAGACTCGTTAGATTTTGCCAGAAAACTGGACCTCCAAAAGAACCACCGTTTGCTTGTGTTTCTCTTCTGCAGCTCGTGTCATCTTTCTGGCCTTTGGGTGAGATGCCGCTCTTATTAAAGTCCCCTGAGCTGCAAAGTACGATCGGAGGGGATTAACAGAATGTGAATACGTGAACAGCGTTGTGTTACTGGCTGTATGGCGAAGGACCCGAGGTTCCGCCGAGCGTTTCGTGGAGGCCTGTTGTGTCGTTTTTATCGCGCAGCGATGAGTTCTGCAGCGGTGAGTGACTCCAAATGCTTTTATGATAATATCACATTTAAAGGTCTCTACTTAATATACCGTGTGGGCGTCGAGTAATGAATACTGCCTTCGCAAATAGGGCTGCACCACTTTTGTTTCCCACCAGCCGAACCTCCAGCGTGTGCTGTATATCTGTTGTGGCTGACTATACGAGTTGTACTATACGAGTTGTACTATACGAGTTGTACGCTTTGTGTCCTTGTTAAGAGGGCAGTCCTTTACGCCGCTGCCTTTTCCATCACGTGTAACTGGATGACTGTTTGGTATAAAGGCCTAAAACCTTGATGGAGAAGAACGTGAAAATTCACCACAAAATTCAGTCAACACAAGTGCAGCTGAGATACCAACGTTTCGACAAATTATCCCGTTGTACATGAGGTGTTTGCTTCAGTTGCATTACGTAGTTGAAAAAGGGAAAGGAGACTCGGTTGTTATTGGCAACGGGCTTTAACCAGGAGGGGAATGAAGCGAGTCCACCTTCCGTCTGGAGAATATGGCACGTTTGACTTTGTGTAACATTAGCGAGGTTCACGTGGACTTGAACTGGGAAGGAAACAAAGACTTAAATCAATGCGGTTTCATTCAAAAGGGGGAAATATATGTATATGTTGTTGCAGTTGCGGATGAATGTACCCAGTATTTACACTAACACCGTTGAAAAGGAGCCACTGTGACGCTTGAATCTGTTTCTGTGGTGAATTAGATTAAACCTCCATGCGAGGAAATGTAATTCAAAACAAAGTATTGCCTTAATTCCCAGAACACGCATACTTTGTAGTAGTATAAACTAAAAAAGTTGTGCTCTAAATCATTTCTGTTATGCTGCTGTAGTTTCCTCAAAGGTGTTTTTCTTTTCTTTTTTTATTCAGCTTCAATTTTCTCATTTTACTTTCTACCAGCTGTATAATCACCTGGTAATGTTTTATTCTCACCATGAATATAAATGATTGATACCTAGAGCTTCAAGGGTCTCTGAAAGGAACAGTCCCAACATTTCTTATCCAGTGGAAATGTTCTCATTTTCTGTTCAACCTGAGAAGGGCTTTGTCACATCGTGCCATTCAATGCGCTGTTTCAGCACCCTGAATAACCCGTTCAGTCCCACCAGTGCGATGTATTCGTAAGCGATGGCCCCGATTATCAGTACACCCACCCCCCCCCCCCCCCGGTTATCGATCCGGCAAAGCCAATGGGCGCCCAGAACTTTGTGGGTTGGCACCCGCAGAGAAGACGGGGTCATCGGGCGGATTCAGAAAAGTGTTCCTACGAAATGGAAAGAAACGGTCGAACGTGGATTTCCGTCGCTCGGTGGTGAGCAAAATGAAGCAAAATAGCCAAACCTCCCCCGACCCCCCCCCCCCCCCGACCCTCACATTTTAAAAGACCCCTGGGAATCATTTGATTTGATGGCGCAACATCGAGGTCGCTGAGGTCGCCGCTTTTAAGTGATGTTATTTATCTTGTTGTGTGCCGACACCCTGTAATGATGACCTGTCACTCTTCTCTGTTTTGTGCTCTATATTTATATACGATCAGGCTTCTTTCTCCTGTGTTACTTTGGATTTATCACCCATTTTTTTTGTGCCATACCTGAAACTAATGAAAAAATAAAGAGAAGGAATATTTTACGGGGCCGTGTCGAATAAATGTTCCGTCGCACGGCGTAAGAATAGAACACAATGTCTCATATTATGAGCCCCCCCCCGGTGTTTCTGTGGCTTGCCTCGACGTGACACTTCTGTCCCCGCCGGGTTTCAAAGGGACAGCGCAGTGATTCCCGAAGTGGCCACCTGTCTCTCACTCAAAGGCCGGCAAACAAAGGCCTTTGTGTCGTGCAAATTGTCCCTTTGACGCTGCTCCCCAGTTTGTGGTCCGCGTGAGTGATTGAAGCCAGAGAAGCACACGCGAGGGAACGAGGACGCCGCGCGGAGCCGCTTGAAAGTCATCCCGAAGGTGAAGCAGCAGGGGCCTCGCGGCCGAGAGGCGAAGGCGCTTCCGCTTTGGTGTGACAAACATACGGGGAGAAAAACACTGAAAACAACCGCTTTTTATTATTTTTGAAAAATCACCATTTGAAAAATAACGTGAGAATTTTGGACACCAATTCACTGGGGTTTTT